AAATTTTCAATCTGCAATGCAAATCTATTGTTTTGTGTTTTAGATGCACTGATTTCAGACACTCTATTAGAAAATGTGCCAACTCCTCAATAACAAATCGGATTGTTTTATTTTCCCAAGGCAGCTCCAGATTACAAAATCTCCAAAGAAACAGCCTGCAAAGTAACCTTGCAGCAACACCCACATCATCAAAAAGACATCAGACTTTCTTTCTTTTTAGTCCTTTCACTTTTTTCTGTTCCTCCATCACCGTGTGTCACTCTGAGACAAACGCTCGGCCTGCACATCAAACCAGCTGACTTTTATTTCTATCCGTGTGAAGTGTAAAGCAGACACTGCCTTCTGAAGTGTATCCATGGCAACTGGCCTGCAGCTGGTTGAAGGGGCAGGGGCAGTGGTGGCATCGGTCTCTTGCAGGACAGCAATAGAGTAAAGCCAGTAAAAGAGAAAGTGATGAAGAAGACTTAAAGAAGGAAAGCAGGTCATGATCCTTTTTTTGCGTACGTGCAAATTTCATAAGGTTTTCTGCAGGAAAATATACATAAAAGTATTAAAATTTTGTTAGATTGGTTGGTTTAAAATCTGTCTGACTTTGCTTTAGCAAAAACAATTAGTATATTGAAGATGCACAGTCTGAGGGGTAATGAGGGTCATTTTTGTTCAGGCTCACTGTTTCAGGCATTTTTGGTCACTAGAGGGAGCAAGACACAAGCAGCACCAGTTCATGATTTTCAGTAAACTAATAATCTGATATTATAATCTGAAGAAAAAGGCTGCTTGTGTGGCTAGATAGGCTCATGTTTTAATCTAAATGTCTTTACCACTCCTGAAAACATTACTGAGGGATTCTGAAGCAGTAAATGATTTGTTTCATCATGATGACTGACAACAAGTTGGGCAGTTCCTCGCAGCAATGAGGTTGCCAGTTCAAATCCCAGCTGTGGCCTTTCTGCATGGTGTTAGCAAGTTATCCCTCGCAGACAAAAAACATGCAGGTCAGGTTGACTGGAGACTTGGAACTTGTCCCTAAACGTGAATGAGTGTGTGACTAGTTGTCTGTCTATGTTTGTCCCAGTGATGGACTCGCTACCTGTCCCAGGTGTCCCCCACCTGCAGTTAGGTAGAAAATGAGTTTATGAATCATGGTTGACTTTTTTCTTGCCCTATTTTCAAAACAGCCTTCCCTAATACAAATATTCTTCCTCGTAACCGTTTTTACAAACCATGAAACCCGTGGATGTTACAGGAGTCATTTAAGGTCATGCAACAGAGAGATTACAGTTGGTTTTAATCAGAAAGGACCAAAGATGGAAGGAGATGTGCAGTTGTCTTCAGGGTCCAGTATAGCAAGCAAAGTGAAATCCTGTTTTCTCACCTTTTAAGACAAGACCTCATGTGGTTCAGAGGAAGTAAAATCAGTGTCCTGTCTGGAATTGGGGAAATGGGATTGGGCAGAGCAGAGAAGGGCTGCCACAGAGTAAAAGATTGAGTTAACAGGTGTCTGTTCTGGTTGGTTAGGACACTGCAGTTTGTCTGTCAAAGAAACAACATTTCTGTCGAGTTAACAAATAGTATAAATGAAAGAATATTTGGGGCAAGAAAAATATCAATTTTAGTTTTTGCTCGCTTTCCAAGATCACAGAAAGAGTTTGTCTTTATTTGAATTATGACAGAACTGGATGCATTCCTCTGTGTGTAACATCTTACCTTTTACATTCTAGTCAATCGTGCTCAACCCATTGATTTTAATAGACTGAACATGACAGGATAAGTTTGAGGCTGATGATCACAAATACGGTTACAGAACGCCATTAAAACCACTTTAAAATATCTCTCTCTTTAACTTTTGTTATTTGTTTGATTTTCTATTTTTCAGATGAGTTTTGGTGAAATATAGAAATCTGTAAAACCTGTTAGTGTAAAGGCATGCTTTTGTAAATATTTAATTGCATTTTCTTCTGCCTGATTGCCGAATTTTCATGTTCAGCCTGCATGAAGGACTCCCAGTGACCGATTACAGCCAGAAATATTAATTAAAAATGGGTTTTCAGTGAACCACACCTTTAAAGTTGCTTATCCACAAAAACTAAATGGTGAAAATTGAAAATAAGTCATCATCTGCTACAGTCGGTGGGTGTTGGACCTAATGTGTAGGTGAGAAACCAGGAGGCAGGCAGTTGAAATTAAAAAAAAGTGTTTAATAATAAACAAATGGGTTCTGCATTGTTCCATATGTTCACTTTGGATTCCTCAGCTCATCAAGGCCAGAGCTACATTCAGACTACTCCTGCATTTATAAATGATGCTAACCACACCCAATGATGTGGCTGTAACTTATATTTTCTTGGGTTTTTATATTAATCTGCACAACCTTGGCACTAGAGAAGAAAAGAAAATAGAGTCCCAGATCAGCCTGTATGATGAACAATACACCCTTATGGGTCACAATCACTGTCCTGAATGCTGCTATATTTGTTACACCTTATCTGCAGCAAGGACAAGCTGCTGTTGTTTGTGAGTGCACCGACCATTGAACACCTCATTCTAGATAATGTTGACCGACCCCGAAATGAAGTGATTCTATCCATCCAGACAATGGCAGAGACGACGGGGCGTTTCTGTGATAAGACAGAGTTTTATGCTTTGTTCAGTTGCTAAAGCCATACAAAGTGTGAAATTACATCTAGCAGGAAAAAGCTGCAGGATCACGAGACCGATGCAGCCATCAAAAGCCTCCTGAGATCCAGACTTTCTGTGAAGATGTAATATTTGGAGCTTCAACTGTGCAGAAACAGAAGTATTTTAAAAGTTCTTAAAACATTTTGAGTATTCCAAAATATTTTTTTCTCTCAATAGAATTGGTAACAGATCCTAAAATGATGAGTGAAACCTTTTTCACACACACGCGTGCACACACACACACGCGCGCGCACACACACACACACACACGCGCACGCACACACACACACACACACGCGCGTGCACACACACACACACACACACATTCCTCATTTCCCTGATGAGTGTATTCTGAAGTAAGGAAGTGAGCCATGGTCCTCCTCCCAGACTGCTTCCTTGTATTGTTGTTACAACCATCTCTTAAATGTCCACTGGCTTGATGTGTGTAACAATTTTAGCGAACACAATCCTGAAGACTTCTCAAGGTGTGTTTTCAGAAAATAACAGCAGAATCTGAGAGGAGAGCAGGGACATGACAACGATGATGTCCTTTAAAACATCAGCTGAGAAAAAAAAGTCTCTTATTTATGAAGGTTTTTCTTCTACATATTAAGATTTTATCCCCATTGAGATGATAAATTCAAAAGAACATGCAGATTTGTGGAAATGTATCAGGCACTTATCGTTGAGTAACACCTGTAAAAAAAATGGAGTTCCTTACAATCATTGTACATTTAGCTTGAAGAAGTTTTGTATTTTTGTTTTAAATAAAATTTTATGGTCAAATTTGGTTGAATAAAGTTGCAACTAAGTGTTTGAATCTAAATGCCGATGTGGTGGTTTAAACTAAACATATAGTCAGATTGCTGTAAAGTAGAAATGGCCTACCAAAATAAAAGCTGGCTGAAAAGATCCCCAGCCTAACACCCCTTCAAAAAAGATTCGTAAAGGATGTTCATGTTTTTAAAAGCAGGCTTAAGACTCACCTTTTTACCATAGATTTTAATTGATATCTGTTTTTAGCTGCATTGCTTGTTTTATTGTTGTTTTATTATTTATATTTTAGTTTTATTAGACATTTGTTCTTAGTGTTTTACTATCTTTTAATCACTTTTTTTGTTATTTTACTATCCATAGTAGCTCTTATTATTTTTATGTTACTTATTTGTTCGTGCCAGTGTTTTCCTCTGTGGGGCCCTCTGCCTCGGGGGTGGTGGTCGACTGTGGCAGCCTGGGTGCGCCTCAGGGAGTGCTTAGGCGGTGGTGGGGGTTTTCACCCTACCTCCCTGGGAGCCTTAGGAGGGTTGGTGCCTGGCTGCTGCCATCTATCGACTACCACTGAGGCAGATGGCCCACCTGATGGCATGCCATTCGTTACCTAACCCATCTGAACTCGGCCTAGTGTTTACTTATGACATGTTATTTATTTTATATTTTAGTTTTTTTTTGTTTTGTGTGTGCATGTGTGTATTTGTTGTTCGTGTGTGTGTGTGTGTGTGTGTGTGTGTGTGTGTGTGTGTGTGTGTGTGTGTGTGTGTGTGTGTGTGTGTGTGTGTGTGTGTTCCTTAGGAAATGGGTTGTGGGATGGGGGGGGGGGTGCAACTGTCATAATTATTTTTATATTTTTGGGGAAATTATGGGATTATGGGTCATATGGGGTGATTTTAACCTGTAAAGCACTTTGAGCCATATTTTTGTATATGAAAAGTGCTATACAAATAAAGATTGATTGATTGATTGATTGATTGATTGATTGATTGATTTAATCAATGGTCAGGTATAAATTTGCAGGGAGAAAGGAGATAGGCATTATCATAAATGACCCATAGAATCCAATAAAATGTATCTCCATATATTGTGTTTAGTTTTTAGACAACATTCCATTTTTCTGTAATGCTTTTGTTAGAATTCTGGTGTCTAAATGGTCTAAAACTTTTGTCCTGAAAACTAAAAACAGAATAAACAGAATTTAGAGGAAGACAACTGAATGAAAGATAGATTATGTTTTAATAAAGAGCGTGAGACCTGTGATAAGGAACACAATAAAAGCGCTCACTGAGAATGAATCAGCATGGTTTTACTCAGTATAATCACCACAGGGACTCTCATATGGAGCACCAGAGCCTCAGCACTGCGATTTCCTGAATGAATGCATTGAACATTTTGCATAAATTGTACTACTTTTTATGTTTTACTTGACCATCAGCATTTTGTGAAACTTAAATTAAAATAAAGTCAACAGTTTCATTGAAGTGCTGTAAGCATCCTGCAGCCTTTCTCCATGCTGACAAATGGATTCTTCTTATTTTGCCCGTTTGCAGGTTGGAGTCTGAAATCGGAGCACTTGAAAGTGAAGAGTCACAAATTTCAGCCAAAGAGCAAGTTCTTCGTGAGCGTCTGAGAGAGACTGAGTGCTCCATTGAAGATCTGCAGAAGGTATTACTCAGCAGGGATGACTCACTTCTGATAAAAACAGTACAGTAGTGCAGTGTGGTGAAGTCTGCTTGCATAGAAGTAAAGCCCCTTATTGAGTCTTTTGACTAAAGCTACATAATGTAATTATATTGGTTGTTAAAAATCATAACAGCAAATAATTACTTATTGTTTCTGATCACAAACTGAAGCCCGAGAGCTTTTTTCTTGTGCTGCATCGACCGGTTTGTTGTGTGTAGCACTGAAACAGCCATGAGCATGACACAAGGTAGTGACAGAGTAGCTCAGATAGCAGAAAACATCAACTTCAGTATTCTTCTGATTAGAAATATTCTGCAACTTTGTGACTTTGACCTTTTCTTTTTCCAGAGTCTGATGGCCCAGGATGAAGGTATGGCCAAAAAATGTGTACTCTCACACAGAACCACAGAAACACACACACAGACAAGCTCAGCGAGACTATTGAACCACACACACACACACACACACACACACAAGGCCATGACTCTGCAGCCTGCAGGCGCTGGCTTTATCCCCCCAACTATTCAACAACAAGCCTGTTAGCCCCCTGATGTTTTGTTCTAATGTCACACACACACACACACAACTCAGACACAATTACACAACCATAGACGCACACATACACACATTGCTGCATAAGCATTGTACCTCGAGGGTGCTATTGCTGGGGACACACACACACACACTCACATTGTAGGGGCGGTCAGGGTCACACAGAGGTGTGGCTAGCTTCCCCATTGGGAGGCTGGTCGTGTATTTGTGTTTTCAGTTTCAGGGTGTGGCCTATCACTTTGTGTGTGTGTGTGTGTGTGTGTGTGTGTGTGTGTGTGTGTGTGTGTGTGTGTGCGTGCGTGTGTGCATGCGTGCGTGCGTGCGTGCGCACTCATTGTACACACATTTGTGCACTGCCATATGACTGAGGCTACTGTGTATGTGTGTGTGTGTGTCATTTCCCTTCCTCTGTTTCTGCTCACTAGATGTTACGGGCCGAATGTCCACCACTCTCTCGGACTGCATGGACCCAGATCCCAACCACCTGGACCCGGCCGCCCAACTCAGAAGTGGCCCAGCAGTCTCTGGAGAGCACTCCATGTCAAGACCTGGTAAGACTGACAGGGAGGAGAGAAGGGTGAGGGAGGGGAGAGAAGAGAATCTGAGGGAGGGGGCAAGGGAGGTCAGAAAGGTTTTGGGTCTGAGCCAAGATGGATCAAAACCAGGATTATCTCACATGAACAACAGATAAACGCAACTTCCTGAGATCTGAACTTTTTTGGTTGGGGGTGGGGGGGGGGCATTTTTCATTTCACACTGTTATTTGGGATTAGTGGGAAGGCATAAATGTGAATAAATGTATAAACATTTCTGAACAATTAGTTATTAATTTTCTTCAAGTTTTTTTTGTGTTAAACTTGTAAATAATTGCTCTTAACTTCTACTGATAGTTTGCCAAATGGCCGCTGGAGAAACAGTTTTCACATCCAACAGAAAGGCTAGCCTGAGTGCTGCGGGCCCATAAAACACTGCAACTCTGATTTCTAAAGATTTCAGAGCCATTCCTGCAAGAGTACTTAAGAAAAACCTTTTTAATGATGATATTTTTGCATTAAACTATTACTGATGTGGATTTCTCATCAATAAAGTGGCTAAATGTTGCACTTAAAGCTGCAATCCAGAGGTTTCCCCTTTCAGGAATTATGTATGAATTTTTAGAAATTTGTAGAAGTGATAGTCTTACCCTGTACTGTGATGTAAAATAGGCAACACATCATTTTATTTGCTAAGCCCGGCCCCTGTCCCGTAGACCCTCATGCAGTTTGAATTGAGCAGTGTTCAGCTTTAGCCATTTACAGACAGATGTCAATCAAATGCACACGTATGTATTTAAATTAAATACATACACACACCGCCTGGCCCAAAAAAAAAGTCACCACTAAATAAAAAGTAACACACTCTAATATTTTGTTGGACGATCTTTAGGTTTGATTGCAATGCCCTTTCGCTCTGGTATTGTTTCAGTAAGCTTCTGCAATGTCCCCAGATGTGTTTCCATCCAGTGTTGCATTAATATTTCACCAAGATCTTGCATTGAGAGTCTGACTGCTGCACAAAGCCTACTCCAGCACATCCCACAGATTCTCAATGAGGTTAAGCTCTGGACTCTGTCGTGGTCAATCTATGAGTGAAAATGATGTCTCATGCTCCCTGAACCACTCTTTCACTATCTGAGCCTAATGAATCCTGGCCTTGTCATCTTGGAACATGCCCGTGTCATCAGGGAAGATGGAGTAACCTGGTCATTCAGTTTATTCAAGTAGTAAGCTGACCTCATTCTTGGAGCACTTCCTGTTGCTGAACCTAGACTTGACCAACTGCAGCAACCCCAGATCATAACACTGCCCCCACAGGCTTGTACATTAGGCACTACGCATGATGGGCGCATCACTTCACTTGCCTTTCTTCTTACCCTGATGCACCATCACTCTGGAACAGGGTCCATCTGGACTCATCAGACCAGTTTTTAATAATACGTTGGACAGTTCTTAAAGGGATAATTTGCAACTTTTTCATATTTTTAAATGATTTTCTTGAGCCAGTAGGTGCCAAATTGACCCTTTACAGGGTTAATGAAATGCCACTCAGCCCTTATCACCCCTGTGGCCAGAATATCACACTTGCAACATCACAGGTGCCAGTCCGGTCTGTTGGAACTTAGAAATAATTGAGCTGACCTACCTGGTGCTGCAGTCTGCTTACAGCACGTTTCCTGCATGCTTTAGATCATAAACACAGCTGGTTTGTTTAATTTAATGATGAATCAATCCTCTGGAGACTCGAGAATGCTGGGAGACATTTCAGCTGTTAGATTAAGGTGTTAAAAAGACACAGCAAGGAGATTTTTTAATCTTGGTTGCACTTCTACAAATGGACACTAGGTGGTGCTAAGCCAGAAAAACTGCCTGACGTCCCTTTAACCCAGTTTCAGTCGTTTCTGCAATCTCCTTAGATGTTTTCTCTGCTTGATGCATGCCAATGATCTGACCCTTCTCAAACAGACTAACAGCTTTTCCACGACCACCAGATGTGTCTTTCCATTTCTGTTTAACAAATGAGAAGCAACTCATGGCACCAGTTGGGGTTAAATAACTTGTTTGCCAGCTGAAAGATAATCACCCATGCAGTAATCATCCAATAGGAGGCTCGTACCTAATTGCTTAACTAAATCCAGGTGGTGACTTTTTCTTTGCTGGGCAGTGTATTTATAAAAAAAAATTATAATTCCCATCTCACACTCCACGGGTCGTCTCATCCTTTCAAGCTCGGGTCCTTGGGTTCTGCGCAGTATCTTAGCTGTATATGTTAACAGCATGAGAATAATAATTGTAAAACAATGTGTTTTAGCTTGTTAGCCAACTGGAGGTGTGCGTTCACAAACAAGAGGCGTTGCCTCCAGCCTCACCCGTACGCCACTCAGGAGGCATCAGCGATATGGAATGGTTTACTCGTGAGTTTTGCTCTGTGCCAGTACACATGGGAAAAACTCAGCTGCGGAGCGGCTTCTCTGCCGTGCTCCTTGCTAGACTCACACGATCACAAAGTCCCTTGAGTTTGTTTATGCCATCCACCAATAAACCAAAAACAAAGAAATCACATTTGATATCGCTGTTTGATGTCATATGTGATGTTGTTCCTCTCCACCGCAAGGATTAAAGCCGTGAAAAACACACCGCTGCACTTCTGGAACGATGCAGGGAGTAAATAAGCCGTCAGTTCACATGCATTGGTAATCTACATAGATATGAAATTGCACCGATGCAATAGTCTTTAATTTTGAAACTTACCAGAAGTTTTACAGTGGCAGTGTGATTCCCTGTCTAGCCCTATATGGACTGCAAATATTGGCGTGTCCCAGAAACAGCTCGCAGCAAACATAAAACTCAATCCTATCTTTAGCGGAACTGTGCAGCAAGCCACTTCTGAGAAGCGCCGGAAAATTGTCCACGTGCGGCTGGTTTGAGTCACCCCCATAGACTATAATATATTCTGTTTGAAACAGTGATGTTCTCCTGACGTTCCACGCCGCTGACGCTTCCAGTGTGAAGTAGGGGTCAGGGAGAGGGGCTTAAGGTGCAACACATTTTCTGCCTCTAGGAGGTGGTGTCCTCTGAGAATAAACTCCAGATTTCAGCTTTAAGTGCATCCAGGGGTAAAAATTCTTATAATGTGAACTTAACACTGATGATTTATTAATGTCTGCATGAAATGCTGTGAGATTTAAGAAAGTGGAAACGTATTAATTTAGGAAGTTAGCTGCACTTTGGCTTGTTGTTAACCTACAAGAATTATTTACACTTTTTACACAAAACACACTTTAATAACATAAATGTCACTTTGCTTTCCTGTCTTCCCACATCCCTGCCTACCTTTTTTCCAACACCCTTTTTCACTTGCATCTTAACTCTTCCTTAAAACCCCCTCCTCCTCCCCCCCCCCTCCCCCTCCCCCTCTCCCTTTCCCTCCTAACAGCAATGTTCGCCATGGAGATCAATGTGCAGCAAGACCCACAGACTGGAGAACAACGCATCCTGTCAGCCAATCGCGTGAGCCCACTGAGTGCAGCATCAAGGGGGGTCAAAGTCTACGATGACGGAAGGAAAGTGGTCTACGAGGTTACTTCCTCTGGAGGTGTCTCCACCACCGCCGTGGAGAATGGCTGGAGCTCTGCACAGGTCGACCAACTGGTCCAACGGGCTGCCAGGCCAGTGCTACAAGGAGAGGATGTGGGGAGGGGTCATGTGACAGTGACCCCAGCCACACTCCAAGCTTATGATTCTCCTGCAGATGTTGATGATCTGTCCCCACCCTCCTGCGCCCCGCCATCCATCCCCTCTAGTCCACCAGCAAGGGTCACCCTCCAGAGGGAGACCCGCCTGGGCATGCTGCCCCCCTCCTCTGCTCCCATCACATCCCAGCCATGCTCCTCGGCCCATCTAAACAATGAGCTCACTTCCCCCCACCAAGCCAGCATGGATCACCCAGTCACTATGGTGTTCCTTGGCTACCAGGACGTTGAGGACACAAGCGAGAGCAGGCGGCTCCTCGGCTTTGATGGTGCCGTAAAGGCTGAGGTTGTGCTCATCGATGAAGACGATGAGAAATCTCTGAGGGAGAAGACAGTGACCGACATCTCCATCATTGACGGCACCGCAGCCGACCTCGTGTCAGGACGACCGGCCACCTCGGAAGCCGTCAGCACAGAACTGTCATCGGATGGCCGCGAGCCCGACAGTGCATCCTCGCCCCCAGCAAACGCAGATGCAAACATGGCCCCGCCGCCCGGCCTCACCCCCGCCACAGGTACAGACAAGAGGAAACGCTGCCAGTGCTGCATCCTCATGTGACTGAATCTTCTCCCTCTTCCAATCTCCTATTATCACCCTCCTCTCCTCTGTGTCTGGATGATTACTAACAGAAGCTCTGGTTTTGTCCTTCTCCTCTGGACTCTGAATGACTGGCACACACACACACACACACACACATACACACGCACACACACACTCTATCTGGTCTCACTTTTAGCTTTTTACTCTGTCACATAATCACCTTCGCTCTCCAGTTTAATTTCTCCTCCTTTTCACTAGCTGTCCTCTCAGACAGCGCCATGTAAATTGACACAAATGCATATAAAACAAGCTGTTGTGCTGCTATGATCATGGAGACACCCAACAAAAGATGGAGATGAACAGCTTAAACCTTGCCATAAAAAACTATCCAAGGACAATCAGTCACATTGCTGTACTGTTTAACCACACCTCATGTCTGGCTCCAGCTATCAACCAGGTTATCTTCACTGGTAAACATTCAAACGGAGCCTCAGATCCCATTCACATCTCTCCTGTTTGGTCACTTTCTTCTCTGTAAACCCTCCACCTCCTGTTTGACACATGCACATAAAACAGTCACACAGAGAAATGTATGAACTCAACCAGCCCACCCGTTTGCTTGAGCAGAGTCTCTCTGACGAGGGCAGTGAGCTGGGTTCCTGTTGCCTTGGTTTCTTTATGTGCCTATTCATTCTACCACTAGATAGTCCTAACAAATAATTGAGAAAACTAGATAATTCTTCCAGGATTTTATTTTCAGTTTGCTGCTATTATCTAACCATCTAGTTTCTTTTGTTTTGGAAACTCGGGCATTTGGGTTGTGGGGGATGCTTTTTGGTTTTTGGCTCTTTTTAGTCTTTCTTTCCTTCTCCCTCATCTCTCTCTGCTGTTTCCTCCATTACCTCCAGCTGTTCCACTGCTGAGGTAATTTCCTCTTATTCTAGTACTTCCTATGACACGGCAGCCAATGAGAAGCCCCGGATCACCACTTGGCAGCCAGCAGAATCAAAACAGCCCAATTTTCCAGTGTGTGTGATTACTAAAGAGCACAGAACTAAAACGGCAGCTCAGCAAACACACTTTGCAGCATGGGAACATTTTTACGTTGTTGGAAACAATACATGTGTTACTACACACAGCCTGGGCTAAGAAGCATACAGTAAATACTCAGTATGAACATGTACTTCTAATATGTTTGAATTAACACTAAAAAATTAGTTTATGAACTTTTCTCTCTTGTTGCTGAGGAATTCCACCAGAGATCCAGTCTTTGACCTAACAAACGCATGAAAACAGAAAACACTGCCGGTTCCTGCTTTCAGTCATTATCAATGCCTTTTTTACAAGAGAATATCAAATGATCAAAGCTTGGGTTTCATCATTGCAAGAAATGTTGTGTGAACTCTACTGGTTTGCATTGTGATTCTATTGGATAACACTGAGTGGTCTAGGAAGGGCTGGTTCATTCAGAGCACAGCCGCATTAATACTTGGGATGGTTAGTAACTAAAAAACAGAGCTGCTGGAGGAGTGTCCAGTAAATCTCCGATGGAGGAGCATTCACAAAGATGTGATAGAAAATCCTGATATTCAAATGATACAGTATAATTTAGAGGTGGTGACTACGTGCCTCTACAGTCAGGTTTATTCTAGGCCAGGAGTCTGCATCTTGCAGCTCTGCAGCCAAATGTGGCCTTTCAGCACCTCTGAAGTGACTCCTTTGACCAAACATGAGTGATGTTTATATTTAAGATGACAACAGGAAAAATAGTTTTAGCAGTTTTTATGTCTAACGTTTTGCAGTAGTTTCCACAGTTATATGACAACGCAGGTTGCTTCAATTTATTTCAGTTCCAGAATTATTTAAAAAGCTCGAGATTTCATGGAAACATGTATTTAAAATGCAATGATCAGTTTTACTGCTGACCTAATAGTTTTTACTTCTCAGTACTTTGTTTATGCAACTTGCTGATATACAGATTTTATTTTTAAGTCATCAAACCTGGTGAACAGTTTCCTGTTGGCTAATAATATCCTAACTCAGCCTGATGAATATTTGTTGCTTTTAATGCACTGAAAAAAAGAAAAAACTATTTTATTATTATTATTAATAATAATAATAATTATTATATTATTATTATTATTATTATTATTATTATTATTATTATTATTATTATTATTATATGTTTAATAATTGTTCCCTATTTTCTGCAAAAATAGGAAACCTATAACAGCTCTGCATATTTCTGAACAAATACTTTAATTTTATCGTACAAAACAAAGTTTGTTCCTAAAGCTTAAACATAACAGAAAAAAGCCATATTTCAACTCTTAAGTTTAGGGTGAAATACATTTTGTGCTTTTACACAATTGTATTGATTCTAAAATGTAGTAAAATGGCTCTTTTAGCACCAAAGGTTGCAGACTCCTGGTCGAGGCTCTAATACTCATGCTTGAGGAAAATGTCCCCTAAATTATGAATACAGGACGACTAGCGTTAGCATTGAACATGTGCACTAAAAAGCCTCGGTTATCTTTGTATTCATCCTCATGAGTCACTGGTTGCACTACTCTACTGATCTTGATCTCCAAAAAAATCAATCTAACTTGTCTTTTTACATTTTTGCACTAACTGGTTTCCCAACACTGAGTGGGTTCGTGGGGTTATTATTCTCTTATTAGGCTGAGTTCACAACTATGATCTGTTCCTCCCATGCACAGCTGGAATTAAACTTTGGAGCATACAAGTGTGATTGGCAACTGCACATGTCAGCCACTAACGAGTGCTTTGTGATTGGTTATTCAGCAGAAATACCAGGATCTGAATGTGAATATCCTCTAAAATTGTGTTTAATAATTTACTTCATTTCCACATCTTTATAGGAGAATAATTCTCATTTTTATTTTTCTAGAAATTTTCAATGACACATAAAGCAACTGAATGCACACAAAAAATATCTTGACATTTTCAGTCCTTCACCTCACTGCTTTGCTGTGTCTGACCTCACGATTAACCTCACAAATCACTGGTTTTCACTGTTACTCCAGTAGTCTCTGACACGTTTTAGTATGATTTTATTTGCAACAGTCTGTATTGCTGTAGGCCGGTTAGGTGCTCAGAATTGAAGATTCATGATCATATATCTCAGCTTTTTGCTGTTGAAGACTTAAGGGGACGATGCTGAAAACATTTTGGAAGATGTAACAATTTTTCCAGGGGTTTAATGTAGAAGAATCAAGCAACAAGCAGGAAATGTGTTTACCTTTAAAATAAAACAAAATCTCATTTTATAAAATCTGAAGATTTTGAGAACACGTTTGAGTCATCCAGAGTCCCTGTTTGGGTTAATGTTTATGATCAGAACAGATTTGTTGAGTTTAGCAGCCCCACTGCCAGACCTGCAGTACTCCTCTGACTCTGTAGGGGTCCATATTTATCCTCTGCCCTCACAGTTGTATGGACTGTTGAATTTTTTTAAAAGGAGCCATTTTCTATTGTTCACACTTCCCTGTGTACTTCACCTTCACTCTGTCACCTCCTCTCTTTCTCTCTGCTCTGACATCTGTAACCTCTCTGTATCTTTGGTCAATAAAGCAGAGTTTCTCCAGTGCCAGCCTGCCGTCTCCTGCTTGTTGTTTTTTCCATCTGTCTCTAACACTCACTTTATTTTTCTTGGCTGCTGACAGAGAGATTGCAAGCTGTTTTACTGCACCCAGCTACCCATTGCCACTAACAAAGCACAAATTTTAGTATCTTTTGAACAAATTTGTAAGATAAACAAGAAGCGTTTGCTCTTACTTGCTTCCTATAGACAATGAAACCGATAATATTTGCCAGTTCGATATAAATATGGCCTCACTTAGGAAATGTGTTAAAATTTGGAAAGAAAAGCTATTCTAAATTTCTTTAAAAGCAAGAAAATAGTGAAAAAAACGAATGAATGATGTTTTGCTCCTTTTTTAATGACGTACAATCAGTGATTTATCCACAGTAAGGACTCTACATGTCGGTGGCGTCACTCAAGTGAGTCTCTAGAAACAGGAAGTCGTCCTCTGACCAGAACAACATTCATAACTGGCCAGGTTGCTAACAAATTGGAGCTAATTTACTGTATTTTAAAGAATTATCACTCAAAAGTCATACTGAAGTGGATAAAATCTACTAAATTCTCTAGTATGAATGATTGCATTGTGGATCATTTTCTGTAGAAAAAAAGCTCTGGTGCTCCTTCTTCATGAGGTAGAAGTTTGTTGGAGAAGTTGGGAGTGGAAATGACAGGATTTAGAGTTTTAACCCTCCCACTGTCCTATTGGGTGTGACCCCATGAGTAAAATTGGTCATTGAGCAGGATTGATGGTTTGTCCCTTGGGACATGTGGCAGGGGTGAGGAGTGAGCACCACCTCACCCCTGCCACATGGACCTCAAGGGATAAACCTTCAATCCTGCTCAATGGCCAACTTTCCTCACGGGGTCACCCATAAAGACATGGGAGGGTTAATCATTAATATTCATGGTATTCAAATGGATCGCTTCTGATCGGCTAACAGCAATGCAACTCTTCAGCTGCTGTTGTTCGCTCTTCATTCTTGAGGGGAAAAAAATTAAATGTTGGTGTTTTATCCCCATAAATAATACAAGCCCAAACCAGTTCTGCTATGTTGTGGAGTTGCTAATGCTAATGGTTAGCTTTTACTTGCCAGGACGCCCTCTCCAGGCTGCAAAATCAACACACTCTTCTGTGGTCACAAGTCAAGGTCGGGGAGGCCATGAATACTTATTTTCCCTGTGACAAAGAAGAGACTGGCTTTTTCTTCCCTTCTCTTTTCTTTTTGCAGTTAATTTAGGCGATAGGGGTTGAAGAAAATATCCATGTTCAGCATACATGTGCAACTTAATAATAGTTTCTTAGTAAATAAGCTCTTTGAAAACAGGTAATACAGTATTCTAATGAGCACGTGTTACGTTTTTGAGCAAGAGTTGTTTTAAACACCAAATTGTGAGTCGCTTTGAAAAAACGTGTCTCAACATAAACATAATTTGTTAACAATTGGCTAGTCTGGAGGACTTCTTTCTTTGTTCAGAGGACTTCTTACTGCCTCCAGAGAGTCTGCTTGCTGAGTGGCATCATCTGCAGGTAGGGTACTTACTGTGGTAGTGGGGCGACGGTGGCTCAGGCGTTAGGAGTTCATCTTGTAATGATCGGTTGCTGAATCAAACCCAGGGTTCCTTGGTGTCAGTTGTTGTGTCTTAAGGCAAGACACCCTCTTTGCTTGCTGATGGTGGTTGGAGGGAAAGGTGGCGCCTGCGTACAGCAGCCTCGCTTCTCTCATAGCTCGGTTCCACTGTGGGATCCGAAGCAGGGTGGGGTGGGTCACTGTTTTGTCCGTCTCGATTGCAAAACCGGTCCATACAACTGAGCTGGACTGCATCAGTCATGGGCCTCTTCTGTTTTAGGTCCATAGGACTGCCCCAGGACAGCTGTGGCAGTGGCTACAATGTAGTTTACCACAATCAGTGTGTGAATGTGTGCGTGTGAAAATTTGTAGTGCAAAGTTCTTAGTAGTCCGCTGACTTAGGAAAGTGCTATTCATGTGCGGGTCATTTTAAATTTTGGATAAACAACTAATAGAGCACCACTTAAAAAACAGTGAAATGTCTTATGTCTTGACGTGCAGCTGCACAACAAATGATTTAAAGTCCAAATGTGTGATGACAGCACGTTTAAACAATTACAGAAAAACGGATTCACTGCCCCCCACTAACATAAGTATGCTGACATAATGCATGAATTTATGCACTTTTTATCAGAATAATTAATCTGATCATAAAACTACGGCTTTAACAGTACTGCCAGTGAGGACTCATAATATGTGTGTGAAGAAATACATTTATTTATATGTGGTAGAAAATATTATACTACTTGGACTAGTGGTGCAAGTTGTAAAAGTCAATGAAAATACATTTAGGAATTAATAAATACTACATAAAATTGTATGTATTTTAGATGATTATTTTATTGTGCGTGCATGTATCACATAAAGCATAGTGTTGTCAAATTGCTTTGAGTTGCACAGGTTTAGGGTGGAGTGACTTATTTTTGCGTGAAACAGTAGATGCAGGAAAATGACACAATCTCACACACACATGCACTTTTGCAGATGGGTGATAAATGATTACATTAGTCATGCTGTGATAATGAGCATCTTAGACCACACACAATTACACAGGAAGGGTGTGTGTTACTATAATAAACACTCATTTACTTATCTTCGTTCTGGTGTTGTAAACAGAAGCCATGACCGCAGATAATTATTGGACACTAACAAAGGCTCACAAGGAAAGGTGATAACACATGCAGAGGTGGGTGGGTAGTAACTAGTTACATTTACTCAGTTACAGTTAGCCATGTCAAGCCAGCTTGCTTTATAAATGCACTTAAAAACATCCAACACTAAGAAACATGTGACAGGATAAAACAATAAAAGCATAATTGGGTAAAAACAACCTTATAGCATGAAAAGGTCAATAAAATGCAAAAAAAAAAAACTCTCACTAAGATGAATACTGAGTAAAAATCAATGAATGTTAAACAAAATGGACAGACCCTCTGTGACCTCACCTATCCGGGAGTTGACATAATTTCCTTAATAATATGATTATTTTACAATAGAGCTCCGGGAGTTGACGTCACTTCTCCCGGCATGCAACAGTTCAAATCGAAACGGCACCATCTTGGCAGGCAGTAGCCCGCAGCTAGGCTATTTGTTATTGTCAGAAAACTCAATCAGACAGGAAATATGGTAGATTCCTGTTGTGCCCCAGGGTGCAGAACTGACGCGGACGAGATAAGGGAAGAGCCTTCTACAGGATTCCCCAAGATCCGGAACGCCGCAAACATTGGATCATTGCAATAAAACGAGCTAGTGACCAGACTAAAATGAAGCTGTGGGATCCCGAGAGTAAAGGTTTTAGCTTATGCAGCGACCACTTCATATCAGGTACTTAAACCAAAGTTTCCTCAACTGTGTATGGTATTTATTTTAAATGCTTTTATTATGATTCTTAGTGGGCTTCCTAAACTTACTTTGGCGTGGCTTTTTCTGTCTTATTACTCATAGCAAAAAGTAAACATCACGTAAAACGTTGCCTCGTGAGTTCTGCGTGCTGCCGTTTACATGTTTTATGATCACAGCAATTAACCGGCTAAGCTGTATTTCATTTTTAAACAATGGTTGATCAATTGTCAGATCACACATAAAAAGCACTTTGGATTGTTATTATCTGTCTCACCGAGACAGATCTCAGACAGATCCTGAGACGCTCCTGCCTGACATATTTATTTTATTCAAGGGAAAAAAATCAGACTAGTGATTGATTTCTCTTGGCGTTCAGTTTATACATTCAAACAGCACAGCACTCTATTTAAACTACTTACATGTAACTATATGTTATTTGTCCATCCATCCATCCATTTTGGTTGTCGTCGTCGTCTTCCTCAGCTTATCTGGGTCCGGGTCACGGGCTGGGTCCGGGTCACGGGGACAGCATCCCAACTTGGGAGCTCCAGACCGTCCTCTCCCCAGCCACCTCCACCAGCTCCTCCGGCAGGACCCCAAGGCGTTCCCGGACCAGATTGGAGATGTAAACTCTCCAACGTGTCCTGAGTCGACCCGGGGGCCTCTTGCCGGCAGGACATACCCGAAACACCTCCCCAGGAAAGCGTCCAGGAGGCATCCTGACCAGATGCGCAAACCACCTCAACTGACTCCTTTCGATCCGGAGGAGCAGCGGTTCTACTCCAAGTCCTTCCCGAATGTCAGAGCTCCTCGCCCTATCTCTAAGGCTGAGCCCGGCCACCCTATGGAGGAAACTCATTTCGGCCGCTTGTATCCGCGATCTCGTTCTTTCGTTCACTAGCTGACTAGTGACTCTCCAAGAAATGCTAATGGCTAGCCTCTCCGATGCTAATGCCAGCCTATCCATGCTTAAAGTCTGTCAAGGGGGTAGGAAATCCAGCTAGTGGCATGCCTAGGCACGCTAATGGTAGCCTCTCTGATGCTAATGCCAGCCTATCCATGCTAATGATCCGTCGAGGAGGTAGGAAATCCAGCTAGTGTCCAGCCTAGGCACGCTAATGGCTAGCCTCTCCAATGCTAACAACAGCCCGTCCAGGCTAACGCTAGCCTATCCATGCTAATAGACAGTAGAGGGAGTGTGTGAACCAGTCAATGACCAGCCGAGGGCTGCTAGTCCCTGGCGTATCTAGTAATAATGCCGGTAAAGGTGTTATTCCTCAGTAAGCAGCGCCAGCCTCTCAGTTACCGGTGCCAGCTTATCATTAATCAGATCGGTAGTTTGCTTTGGAATATATATAGCCTCCTGCTGCTGGGCAGTAGTCTGAATTTTGGCCCCCATACAGCGCCATAGTGAACAAGACTCCAAGATACTTTAACTCCTCCACTTGAGGTAGGACCTCTCTCCCAGCCACCCTTTTCCGGTCGAGATCCATCCATCCATTTTCATCCGCTTATCCAGAGTTGGGTCGCGGGGACAGTAGCCCAAGTCGAGAGGCCCAGACTTCCCTCTCCCCAGCCACTTGGGCCAACTCTTCCGGGGAAATCCCAAGGCGTTCCCTGGCCAGGGCCGCTCCGACAGCTTCTGGCATTTTAAAAAAGTATCCCAGGGGCATGGTAAGGGTCGGAGATGTTTAGTCTATTTAATTTCTGACTATATAAAATGATTTATTCTGTTTTAAAGTGTGAAGTAAACTCCGAAGGAGTAAAATCCAAGCCGATCCCCTTCATTTTGTTTACCTTTGTTGCCTGCCAACATGGCATCTACTCTCTGAGAGTCACGTGACTTCCGGAGCTCTATAGGTTTCTGAGGCTTCGACTTGAAGCCTAGTGGGCAGTTCCAATCACCGTCATCTTGGCCAGGTCACACATCCTGACACTCCTGGACAGTACCAAACGGGCATAGCGGTGGAGCTGAGAGCGGCATTTTGAGGATCTCAGTCTGCCATTGCTCACGGCTACAAGCTAACTGAAGCTAACGGAGGTTTGTCGACGCTTTTAGCCAGAAAACTGTGGTTGAGAGGCTCTAACATGAAGCATGCATCAACTCAACGAGTTGCAGAGTTTCAGTGGTCTCCCTCAGAGAGTTCCACAGGGCAACAGGCACAGCCTCAGACCGCAGTAATCAGAGCTGACCACTTTGTGCCTGAGCCAAGCGAGCCCATGCTTAGCTCCTTCACAGCAGTCAGAGATCCAGGGAGATGGTACAGAGTCTCAGTACACAGCCCTACCAACACTTCCTATTTCAGCCCATTTTGACCAAGCAGCATTATGCTAAATGCACAGCATTTCCCCCATTCAACCAGCAAAATAACACACAAAAATGTATTTTTACTTACTAATAAAAAAGGAGGAAGGTACTTCTTGGTCTGTTAGTACAAGCAATACCACAGCTTGCCATCTTTGTCCAAATAATCCCATGATTAACATCCAAACAGGAATGCACAGTTGACACAACTAAAATTCACCAATTCAAAACAGCTGAACATCTTCGTGAGGCCATGGCCAAGGCCTTCCCCCAAGCTATCCATTAGCATGAGCTCTGAAGCTCATGCTACCTACCAATCATATCTCATCATTCAGAACTGCACGTATTTAATTACACCTAAATGGAAGAGTTACGAAAAAAATTAACCCCCCCCCCCCCAGAGATGTCATGACTGTAAACTAGACCTATAAAACCTAAAATTTGTTTTGAACCAGGCTGTAAACATGTTTTTTTTCTGCTGTGAAATTGGCTTTTTTTACAAAATGTAAAATAAAAATTGTCTTCATGAGAACTTTTAAAGGTGTGTGTGGATATTTATGAAGACTATACCAATGCCACTGGTAAACTAAAAATTTCTTTGATCACAGGCTTAAGCCAAATCCCTGGGGTAACCATGACAACCATGGACATCAGTGAGAGTCCATTTCCAAGCAGACAGCCCCACACAGGCATGGTGAGTACCACTTTAACAGGCAACATCAAACTCAAAGGCTTCATGATAAAATATGTGGCAAAAAATGTTCATTTCAATTCATTTGAAGGATAAAGGACTCTAGAACTGGCTGTAAAGTTTATTTTAGTCTCAGGATGTACAGCGGGTTGTCCAGTAATCGAAAGGTTGTACGATCGATCCTGGCTCCCAACAGAGAATGCTGCCGTTGTGCCCTTGGGCAAGGCTTAACCCACCTTGCCTGCTAGTGGTGGTCAGAGGGACCAGTGGCACCTGTGCTCAGCAGCCTTGCCTTTGTTAGGGTGCCCCAGGGGCAGCTGTGACTGCACCCATTCACCACCAGGGTGTGAATGGGTGAATGGCTGTGTTGTAAAGCACCTTGGGGGTACTAGGACTCTAGAAGGCACTGTATAAAATCCAGGCCATTTACCATTTGAAACTGTTTGTGTCAAACTAATCAGACTTCAATAAAGTTCTTGTCCAATTTTATTTCATATCAATTTAAAAAACAAAAAGATAAGAAGCGAGACAGAGACAGCCCTATTGTTGGGACAATGTTGGGACAGTGTTCTTCTTAGCTAGAAAATGTGTGACGTGATGAGTTTTCTTCTGTTACTGCCATGAGCCATTGCTTTCTTTATCTCTCGCTGTTTTTAGAATCGCATTTGCACGAAAAATCTGAAGTTTGACGTCTATTTGGTGTAAGTGACAAAACAGCAGCCACTCTGATAGCTTTTTTTGCTCAGGTAAAGCTTTCAATGTTTAGTAAGACAACGACAAGCAACATTCTGCACGTCACAACGTCTCAGGCCCGACCTCATGCTGTGATTTGCATATTATGTTAGAATTTCTTCATGCTTCAAATGGATTTTTATTTATCCAGTAGTGCATTTAAAGAGACTGAAATGTACAATGAAGGTTGCTGCTGTAGCTTTCAGCATAACTATCAGAAGTGCCACCATGGCATCACAAAGGCCATGGGGCACCCTTTATAAACATTAGCAAAGATTTTCATTAAAATATACTGAAGTAAACTTCTACCAAAAGTGTGAATTGGTATGCGTTTGCAGACTATTAGTGCACTTTTTCTACTTTGGAAGAAGTCTACTATTGGCTGATTTTGATTAAAGGGGCATTATGGAAGTTTGACAGACAAAACATGTATAGAAATAATAAATTCCTTCTTCATACATTCTCCTGCAATGCCCTGGTCCTGTAGAATGAGCCCTGGCATTTTTACTGTGATTGACTGTTTTTCTGTAAAATCACAGAAAAAGAGAGTTGCTCGGGTCGAGCAGGCTGCTTCATGCGCGTTCACGCTCAAGCATAGCCCGTAGCATTTGCTATCCGTAGCTTTAGCAGCAGAGTGAGGTAGTGCCAACTCAACGACTTTGTCGCTGTTCCTAACGCCTAGTGATGAACCTAGCTACATTTCTGAGGACTCTTAGCTACTTTCTTCTAGATATTTCCTGCAAATTAGCAACAAAACAGCCATTTTTGCTCCAAACCGTTCTTTGAATGTTGTTTCAGCTGTCATCAAGGATATAAATATCACAGATACAATAAATGTTACTGGTGCTGTAGCTCACCTAGAAAGGTGGTGGACTCATGTGGAAGACCTGGGCTCAATACTGGATATGAACATGGTTTATTTAAAGTTTACTTTTTACATTAATGGTATATTTTTTACAGTAAGATGCCCGCATTTTTATTTGAGACTCGCCGAATGGCATTGAATTCACAGATAAAAAAGATGTGGGTTCAACTTTCATTTTGGAACAATTTTTCAAGCAAGGGAAGGGAATGATCTGAGCATGCAGGAAGACTGACCCATCATAAACCTTTGTCGGCTGTGCTGAAGAGAAAGGTACAGAACCAAATTATTTAATTAATTAGCTGCGCGTTGTCCTGTCCTCTGTCCTCCGAGCCACACACACACACACACACACACACACACACACACACACACACACACACACACACACACACACACACACACACACACACGCGGGACTGTCTCAGCTGTTATTGTTGTTAAGGAGTGTGCATGTACAGCATGCGCGCCTCGTGCACGAGCCTACTATTGAAGCTGCCGTTACGCTTTTGGCCTGAGGGGGTAATCACAAACATAAAAATTCAAAACTCCGTAAAGTCCCTTTAAACACCCTTTAGTCAAACGTTCACATTAACCTAGCCCCTTTTCCATCTGTGTCTTCTTGTTTAATACACAGCGTAGCAAGGTTTTTAACCTTGCTCTGCTGACAGTTTCGGCGACACACAGTCACCATCTTCAGAGCCTTGCCGGTGTTGATGAAGTTACTGTTTATTCTAGCCCTATTCCTTTTTGTTGATTCAAGGGGTAGTTCAAAGTTGAGGTGACTTTTTGGTAAAAATGGTATGAGCAATAAGTTATTTAACTGTTCCTGAAAAAGTTCAGTTTGGAGAAATGAGATAAGATGGTTTGACCAGACAGGTCAGCTAATAGCATACCTGAGACTGGTTTTTAATGCTTATTTCATCTAAAGATTTTCAAATGTCAATATTGTTTCTTTTTATTTAACTAGGAATCTGCCACTGAGATTAAAAACATCCTAAAACAGTTTTTTCAAGGTGAAGATAAGCAGCAGCATAAATCAAAAATGTTATTAATAAACATCCACACCATGGATTTCACATTAAATAAGAAATTAGATATAATTTCCAGAAATTAGCAGCAGAAATTAACTGCAGAGCAACATTTGTGAAACTTCAGGTGAGAATTTAAGACTAACTTTGCCAAAATAAGCATGGGTAACGTGTCTCTATGTAAAGGTTATAAAACTGGATTTTCAGAAAATGGTGTAAAATTATTAACTGAAATGTTTTAAAACACTTTTATCAATGTTGTACCTTGATCTGTTCTCTGTTTCCCCACACCGAGGCTGTTCAAATTGATTAAACGCTTTGAACTGAAGGTTTTCTTTGAAAATGTTTGTTTATTTTAAAGTAAGTTCAGGTTTTTTGTGTAAATGTTGTTGTTTGCGGTCGTCTAAATTGTTTTGTGAACATATGTTTGCAAGATGAGGTGGGGGCATGAAGCCGGACTGGAGGGGGCCAGGCTGGGCTGCAGTCAGATTGTTTAGCGGCTGAATAAATGAATGACTGGATGAATGAAGGCCTGCGGGACGGCGGTAACCTGAGCCACCCGGGTCGACCTCATTGTGTTTAGGAGCGCGCGCTGGCGTCTCGCTCTCTGATTGTCTCTGGAAAGGGACAGAAAACACTCTGGGGACCTCGCGAGCCCTGGCTGCATTATTCATCGCGCGTGCCTCGGACGAGACGAGAGAGGAAGAAAAGTGGTAGAAAGAGAGAGCAAGAGGAGAAGAGATGAGTCAAAAATAGGAGAGACGAGAAGGAGGAGGGAACTGCCGCCTGGAAAAGCTGGGGCGTCAGAAGGAGCTCAAGTGAGAGGTTTCCGTCCGTCACCGTTACTACTGACACCGGGACCGCACGGAGATCCCATCCGCTCCTGCTTCCTCTGGTTCGGTTGCTTCACGCCCCGTCGCCGGCTGCTGTAGCAGCAGTTTTGTGGAGGTGAACGTGGAAGGACAACGAGACACCAAGAAAGAGACGCTTGCGCATTTAGCCTTTTCCCCTACTTCCGTTAATCCCAGTTAATATCTGCTAATTAGACCGCTTCTAGGAGCATCGGATATCAGGGCTTTGCCACGCGCGCTTCCAGGTAAAATAACGCAAGACTACTTTAAGTCAGAAGGTGTTGCTGTTATATGTTGTTCTGCATTTTAGTGAAAGTGTGTCAGTGAAAGGTGTGTTTAGGGTTACTTTGGTTTATGGCTAAGGTGTGTGTGTGTGTGTGTGTGTGTGTGTGTGTGTGTGTGTGTGTGTGTGTGTGTGTGTGTGTGTGTGTGTGTTCCTTTCTGGAAAACCATCACTTTGATTGGCTTTCAAGTGGAAAGGACACAGGATACTGCAGCCTCTTCTCCTGAAAGAGATACAACCCAAAGAGGTCAGTGGACCAGACTGCAGTAGTCTCCATCTCGCTCTCTGATTCCCTCATCCTCTGCATCACTTTAACCTAGTTATTAGAATATGACCTCAACCTCCTTTCCATCCCCCACACCTTGAATATTTTGATTCAGATGGAAACAGCTCCATGCTTCTTGCTTCTTGTGCCATTTCCCAGAAAATACACATTATTTTATACTTACACCCAATTATTTTCTGTAAACAGTCCAAGCTTATGCAGAGCACATTTCTCACTGCTTTTTTGCCATGCTTAAATATGTTTATGGCTTATCAACATATTCTTCCTAATCATTTATTAATTAAAAAACACTTACAAAAACATCCTGAGCTGATGAGAGAAAAGTATCGCCTCTCTTGTTAAATCACGACTTAGTTGTGATTAAAGGTGTGATTCACTGAAAAAAATAATGTTTTCATGATTTTTTTTCTGATTATCATCAGTCACTGTGAGTTTTTCATGCAGGCTGAACATGAAAAAAATCTACACCTATCTCCTGCATTACCTTCTGATAGAAAATAGACGGTTAAAATCTAAGATTTGAAAATCCTGACAGATCTACGTCACACTGTCACTAAACATTCATGGACTCACCCATCTTGACTCATGACGGGGAAGGCTGCTGTTGTTTTAGCATCCAAGAAAATGCAGAGAACGTCTCTGGTAGTAGAAGCTAACCGTTAGCATTAGCAACTCCACCATGGCAAAAAGTCCTCCAGGCTGGTTTTATTTGTGGAGATAAAACATCAATATTGCAAAGTGAACAGAGTCAGTCTCGTTGCTGTTTTCCAATCCAAGGTGAGATGTCCACATATAAGGAAATAAGTCTAAAGCTCTCCGGCTCTGATCTGGCAGTCTTCTAGATGCTGAAACAGGTGCACATGTTGATTAAATAAGTGAACCACAACTATTTGGAAACATGAGTACAGCCACACCCAGGCCTTATAACATTCAGATATGGTGGCAGTAGTGATGGTCT